GAAAGTTGAGGAATCCAGCACATGTGGCCCCAAATCAGAGGCCCCACATCAACAAGGGGCTGGAAGTCAGGTCGGCAGGAGTAGCCTCATAACAAAGGCCCATGGAATAGAAAACGTGAGGAATCCAGCAGTTGGAACCCAGCAGCAGGTGGCCTGGAGCACCAAGTCTACTGGATCCAGGCCGCAGTGAACTCACACCAGAGAGCCCCACACCATGAAACTGTGAGCAAGCCAGCCATTGGGACCTCAGAGCAGAAGGCCCACATCCCCATGGTGATGGGAACCTGGCAGAGGTGTCCTGGCACGACTGGGTGCACATTAGGAAATGCGGGAGAGCATAGCAGTTAGGGACTGACGCCAGAGTGGTCCTCATCACCGAGGACAGGAAGCTTCCAGCAGGCTACAACTGACACCAGAGGGCCCACGACGCAAAGGCAACATGTGTCAGGCAGGACTGACCTCACAGAACAGGGCCCACCTTACAAAACTGTGAGGAACCCGGCAGGATCAGACTCTCACCAGGGGGCCCACATCACCAAGGGGATTGTAACCAGGCAGGAGCGTCCTCACACCAGTGGGCACATCCACAACATCGAAAGGTGAGGAACCCAGCACATGTGGCCTCAAACCCGAGAAACCACTTCACCAAGGGGCTGGGAGTGAGGTAGGCAGGAGGAGCCTCACAACAGAGGGCCTATGGAATAAAAAAGTTGAGGAATCCAGCAGTTGGAACCCCCCAGCTGGCGGCCCACGGCACAGAGGCTATGGGATCCAGGCCACAGTGAACTCACACCAGATCGCCCCACACAATGGAAGTGTGAGCCTGCCAGCCGTTGGGACCTCAGAGCAGAAGGCCCACATGCCCATGGGGATGTGAACCTGGAACGGTGTCCTGGCACCACTGGGCGCACATCAGGAAATGTGGGGAACCCAGCATTTAGGGCAACAGTCTTGCCTCTTATGCTAACTGATGTCGTTATGATTTGCCTAACTAAGGCCCTGACACTGTGTCTAACTAAGGCCCTGCTGCCGTCAATATCTAAAGTTCTGACATTATCCTAAGCTAAGATCCTGACCCATGTCTTACCAAGGCCCTGAAACTGTCCAAAAGTAAGCCCTGTCCCTGTCCCTAAGTGAGGCCCTGAGGCTGTCCGTACCAGAGGCCCTGAGAATATCTTTAATGAAGACCCTAATGCTGATCCTACAGAGGCCCTTATACAACTCCTATGTCATGCCCTGACACTGTCCCTCACTCAGGCCCTAAAGATAGGCCTCACTTAGGCCCTGTTGCCATACCTTAGTTAGGCTCTGATGCTATCCCTACATCAAGCGCTGACACTGGTCCTAACTAAGGCCCTGATGCTCTCAATAACTAAGGTGTTCACGCTATCCCTAGCTCATTTCCTGACACTATCCCTGGCCTGGAACCTGACTCTGTCCCTAGCTAATTTCCTGCCTCTTATCCTCACAGCAACCCTAATGCTCTCCGTAAATAGGGCCCAGACTTGTCGTAACTAGGGCCCTGCCACTGTTTCTAACTATGGCCCGGAAATTGTCCCTAATATAGGTCCTGCTGCCGGCAATAACTAAAATTCGGACACTAACCTGAGATCAGAATCGGACCCATTTCTAACCAAGTTCCTGACACTATCCCTAAGAAAGCCCTGTCTCTATCCCTAAGTGAAGGACTGAGGCTGTGCCTAACTTAGGCCCTGAAGCTATCCCTAACTCAGGCCTTGAAGCTCTGACCATCTGATGCCCTGATCATGGCTTTAACTAACACCCTATTGCTGACCCAACAAAGGCCCTGATGCAGCTCCTACATCGTGCCCTGACAGTGTCCCCAGCTAAGGGTGTGACGTTAGGACTCACTCAGTCCCTGAAGCTCTGTCTACGTCAGGCTCTGATGCTGTCCTTACCTGAAGCCCTGACACTGGTTCTAATTAAGGCCCTGATACTCTGAGTGACTAAGGTTTTGACAGCATCCCTAGGTCATTTCCTGACTCGATCCCTAAACTTTACCCTAAGCCTGTCCCTAGCAACTGTTCTGCCTCTTATGCTAACTGAAGCCCTTATGCTGTGAATACCTCAGGACCTGAATTTAGTCCCAAGGCCGTGACACTGTCCCTAACTATGGCCTAGATGCTCATCCTAAATCCGGCCCTGACACTGTCCCTAACTATGGCCCTAACACTCTTGCTAACACAGGCCCTGACACGGTACCTAACAGAGACACAGATGCTGGTCCTATCTAAGGCCTTGACACTGTCCCTAACTAAGGCCCTGCTGCCGTCAATATTTAAAGTCCTGACAGTATCCTGAGCTTATTATATCCTGACCCATGTTTTATTAAGGTCCTGAAACTGTACCAAAGTAAGCCTTGATGCTGTCCCTACATGAGGCTGTGAGGCTGTCTCTCACACAGGCCCTGAGAATGTCTTTATTAAACCCCTTAGGCTGTTCCTACCGAGGCCCTTATGCTGCTCCTAAGTCATGCCCTGACACTGTCCCCAGCTAAGGCCCTGAATCTAGGCCTCACTCAGTCCCTGTCACTCTCCCTAAGTCAGGCTCTGACGCTGTCCCTACCTGAAGCCCTGACACTGGTTCTGAATTAGGCACTGATGCTCTAAGTAGGTATGGTCTTGACACTATCCCTACATCATTTCCTGACGCTGTTCCTAGACCTTAACCTAACCTTGTCTTTAGCTAATGTCGAGTCTCTTATGCTAACTAAATCCCTGATGTTGTCCCTAACTAAGACCCTAAATTTAGTCCCGAGCCCGTGAACCTGTCTCTAACTGAGGCCTGGAGGCTGTCCTTAACAAAGGCCCTCAACTTATCTTTAACTGAGGCCCTGACACTGTCCCTAATTAAGGACTGAGGCTGTCTCTGACTAAGGCCCTGAGTCTGTCTTTAACTACTGGCCTCACTCTTTCCCTAACAAAGGTCCTGCAACATTCCCTAACTAAGACCCTGACACGGTCCCTAATAACTTGAGCTGTCCTTCATTAATGCCCTGATGCGGCCCATAAATGATGTACTGAAGACGGCACGAAGGTCCAGACGATGTCACTAATGACCTAAAATGTCTCTTACTAAGGACCTGAAATTACCTCTAACTGAGGCCCTAAAGATGTCCATAACTAAGGCCCTGACACTATCTCGAACTAAGACCCTCAAGTTATCTTTAACTGAGGCCATGACAGTGTCCCTAAAAAACAACCTGACACTGTCTCTAACTAAGGCCCTGAGTCGGTCTTTACCTAACGGCCTCACTCTTTCCCCAACTACACCCTGACGCTGCCCCTACCCAAGGCCCTGACGGTGTGCCTAATTGCCTGAGGTGTCTTTCACTAATACCCTGACCCTATCCATAACTAACGCCCTGATGATGTCCCTAACGAACAGCCTGAAGTGTCTCTTACTAAGGCCCTCAAGTTTTTCTCTGAGGCCCTGAAACTCTCCCTAATTAAGGCCTTGACAATGTCTGTAAGTAATGGCCTGATGCAGCTCCTACCTGAGATGCTGATGCTCTCACTGAGACCTTGAAGTCTCTACCTGAGAAGCTGACACTGTCTGTAACTAATTTTCTGGCTTTTTCTGTAACTAACATCCTAATTTAGTCCCTAAATAACGCCCTGACACTGGTCTTAACTACGGCCCTGATGCTGACCCTATCTAAGGCCCTGACGATGTCCCTAATAGACTTAGATGTCCCTTACTGTTGGCCTGACCCTGTCCCTCACCAAGGCCCTGACCCTCTTCCTAACTAAGGCTGTGATGATGTCTCTACCTGAGGTACTGTCACTGTCTATAATAACGGCCGACTCTTTCCCTAACACACTGATGCTGTCCTAATAGCCTCATATATCTCTCAATAACACCCTGATCCTGTCCATAACTAAGGCCCTGAATATGTCCCTAAGTATGTCTCTGACGCTGTCCTTAACTAAGGCCCTGATGCTCTCTCTACGTAAGACACTGACACTATCTATAATAATGGCCTGACTGTTTCCGTAACTAATACCCTGATGCTATCACTAATTGAGACCCTGAAGATGTCCCTAATATGCTTAGGTGTTCCTCAGTATCACCCTGATCCTGTCCATAGCTAAGGCCCTGAATATGTCCCTAGGTAACTCTCTGACGCTGTCCCTAACTAAGGCCCTGATGCTGTCTCTACCTCAGAATCTGAAATTCTAATGTCCTGACTCTCCCTAACTAACATCCTGATGCTGCCCCTACGTGAGGCCCCGACACTCTTCTTAACTAAGGACTTGCCGCTGTCCCTACCTAAAACCCTGACACTGTCTGTAACTAATGACTTGACTCTTTCCCTAACTAACACCCTAGTTTGGGCCCTAACTAACACCCTGACACTGGTTCTAATTATGGCCATGATGCTGGCTCTAAGGTCCTGAAGATATCCCTAAGTAACAGCCTGAACTCTAACTAAGGCTCTCACGTTATCTCTAAGTGAAGCACTGACACGGTCCCTAACTTAGGCCCTTATAGTCTAAGCTGTCATTAAATAATGCCCTGATCCTGTCCATAAGTAAGGCCCTGAATATGTCCCTAAGTGCATCTCTGACGATGTCCTTAACAGCCTGAACTCTCTTCAGTTTATCTCTGAGGCTCGGACAATGGCCTTCTTAAGGCCTCTCGCCAGGGTTGTCCCAGGCTGCTGGGCAGTTCTCTCATGTCCGCATCTCTAGCCAGCTGCCTGCCATCGACCACTCTAAGATTCTGCGATACAGTGGTCCCATGTGGGATGTGCCTCTGTAGGCTCACCTGCGGGAGGAGAGTCATGGCCACTCAGCCCTCCAGGGGACTGTGGCTCAGGGTAGGAGTCTCACAGCCAACATCTGGACACAGGGTTCTGTGTCCTTGTTCGTTGTAAATCCCTTGGAGTTACCTCTAACATTTTTGAATGGATATCGCCCCCTCTGCATATTTATAATATAAATTATTTATCACATTAAAATCCAGGAATGGCATTCTTAGAATGAGCAGGAGAACACTGGATGCCCCCCACCAATGATCTATTACTTGGAAGATTTAAAATTCTAATGAGAAAACACTCACTCTCCCCACCCTCTTGGGCGTCAGCACAAGGTGGGAATCAGCTGCATCCTTTATTTATCCTTTGATTTTCCAGAACCTTTCCTTCCAGGAGAAATCTCCGGGCTCTGCAGGAGCTGTGAGTGGTGGCCATCAGGTAAATCTGACACTGAAAAGCAAGAGAAAGACAGACAGAGGAGGAGATGAGAATCGGTGACGGGGAGAAGCAGGGGCGTCCACGTTCAATCGTAGGCAGAGAGTCTGGGTTAGTCTCCAGCGAAGCTAAGGACCACCACGGTCTGACCCCACTGGCCTTGTCACCTGGTGTGGGGACTGGGGACGGCCAAACCCCCATGGCCACTCTCAGAGAAATCAGGGAGGTAGGAGGGCACCCCTGAGAGCCAGACTGAAAATGGTCATGCTGTGAAATAATAAGATGCCCTTTCAGAAAAGTGAAGACTGTCCCCTTGGTTCTCAAAGACTTGCATATACTCTGTGTCCTTCTGGAGGCATGCCAAAGCCTTCAGCCTTTGAGGGCAGTAATGGGAGTGCATCTGGGCTCAAAACCATCCAGCACTCACTCCCTGAGGGTGTGAGGATGACCTGTGTCCACCCGTCGGGTACTGTGGGGCCTGAAATCCCCTGATTACCGAGGACGGCAGGGACAGCACAGACACTCCACTGGACCACCAGGGGCTTGACTGCTGGGCTACAGTCCTTTATCAGATACATGGTTTGCAAACATCTTGGGTCATTTTGGATGGTGGATTATCTTATTCCTTTCTCCTTTTATACACAACTGTTTTTCATCTTGAGGAAGTCCAGTTCATCTATTTTGTCTTTTGTTGCTTGTGCTTTTGGTAGATCTAAGAAATCATGACCAAATCCAAGGTCATGAAGGTTTACTCCCATGTTTTCTTCTAGGAGTTTTATAATATTGGTTCTTGCATCTAGGCCTTTGGTCCATTTTGCATTGATTCTTTATATGGGGTTGGGGGAGGTAAGGGCCCAACTTTACTCTTCTGCATGTGGGTATCCAGCTGTTCCAGAACCTGTGCTCACTGTTTGGGAGAAAATACCTGCAAATGACGCGACCAACAAGGGTTTAATTCTAAAATATACAAACACCTCATACAACTCAAAAAAGAAAAAAAATCAAAAAATAGGCAGAAGGTCTAAATAGACATTTCTCCAAAGACATACAGATAGCCAATAGACACCTGAAAAGACATTCCACATCGCTAATTATTAGAGAATGCAAATCAAAACTACAGTGAGTTATCACCTTGTAGTGGTCAAAATGGCAATCAGTAAAATGTCTAGATATAAATGCTGGAAGGGGTGTGGAGAAAAGGGAACCCTCCTACACTACTGGTGGGAATGTAAATTGATGCAGCCGCTATGGAAAACAGTATGGAGGTTCCTCAAAAACTAAAAATAGAATTACCATATGAACCAGCAATCTCACTCCTGGGCACACATCCAGACAAAACTATAATTCGAAAAGATACGTGCACCCCAGCATTCACAGCAGCACTCTTCACAATAGACAAGACACGAAAGCAACCGGAATGTCCCTCGACAGATGAATGGATATTGAAGATGTGGTACATATATACAATGGAATATTACTCAGCCATAAAACAGAATGAAATAATGCCATCTGCAGCTACATGGATGGACCTAGAGATTTTCATACAAAGTGAAGTAAGTCAGACAGAGAACAACACATACCATATGATATCACTTATATGTGGATTATAAAATGAGACCCAAATGAACCTATCTACAGAACAAAAACACACTCACAAATATAGAAAACAGACTTGTGGTTGTCAAGGGGAAGACAGCGGAGAGGGATGGATTGGGAGTTGGGGATTAGTAGATGAAAATTATTATATATTGAATGGATAGACAAGGTCTTCCTGCACAGCACAGGGAACTGTATTCAATACCCTGTAATTAACCATAATGGAAAAGAATATGAAAAATATGTATATATGTATGTTTGTATATATGAATCACTTTGCTGTACAGTAGAAATTAACACAACATTGTAGGTCAACTATACTTTAATATCAATTAGTTTGAAGGCACTTTTATAAATTAGGTCTTATTTCTCTTGTCCTTTCATCCTGGGACAAATGTATAACAGAAACTAACCTGGATTACTCCGGGATGAACTCGTATCACACAGAACTTTAATTGTTGAACAAACCATGAATACGAGTTACACCATGGGGTGTCCTGACCCAATATGAAGTTTGTAAACCTTGTATCAATCCTGCAGAATCCACTAAATTTGGAAATTCAAACTGAAATGAAGCCACCTATCCCATGACTTCTCCACAACTAGTTATACAACATCAATTGGAAACCATATACAATCAAATGAATGTAGACAAAAAACTATAGCCTTCCTTTTTTTGCCTTTTAAATGAAGACAGTATTTAAGTTGATGTCTTGGGCGTTTCAGGGTGTTACTCAATTTCCTGGGTATCTGCCATGCACACAGGAGGTACACATGTTAGTTAACTTGTTTGTGCAACTACATGAAGGTAGTTAATACCACAAAACTGTATACGTAAAGTGAATTAAATGTTAAAGTCGTGTTTTGTATTTTTAATGACAATGAAAAAAAGTGCAGCGCTGATATTTGTTACAAAAATGAACATTAAAAACATTCTTAGTGAAAAAAGTCATACAGAAAAAGCCACCTAGATCCCATACTCATCTTGTGTGCTTCAAATCCATCAAGGTTGTCCAAATGAGGGAGAAACTCAGTAATGGTTCCAGTAAAAGAAAACTGGATCAGGATGGAAAAAGACATTTTCATACAGTTGGGACAGTAGGTGAAAGTTGAAGTGGGGCTGAGTATTAAATTATAATGTGGACATCAGGATTTCTTCATTTAGGGGTTATGTGCTGGTTCCTTGGGCAAAACACACTGAGCATTTTGTGTGAAGTGGCAAACGTGAGTACTTTTTGCCATTATTGCAACTTTTCAGTACATTTTAAATTACTGGAAAGTAAATTACTTTTCTAGACAACCATGTCAGTATCATGCCAGAAAATCAGATAAGACGGACATCAAATTTTGTTATAGAGGCTTAGACTTACCCAGACCACGTTCAACCAAAGTTGTGACACTTATTTCCCTTGTCGGAGTCCGCATGGTATGAAGAGGCACCGTGGGAAGAGTATATTAGTAGCTACCATCTCTTGGGTCCTGTGGATTACCTGGGGTGCAGTAGAAACTGTGAGATTTTAGTATTGCAATTTTTCACATTACTTTAAAAAATATGCTAAAAAATAAATTCAGTAAAGTTGCAAAATATGGATCAATATACACAAATAAGTTTTGTTTCTATACACTAATAATGAACCACCAGCAAGAAAAATTAAGAAAACAATCCCATTTACAATTCCATCGAAAAGAACGAACTATTTAGCAATAAATTTAACCAAGGACATGAAAGACCTATACTCACTAAACTATAAAGCATTGATAAAGAAACTGAAGACACAATAGAAAACAATACTCCATGCTCATGCATCAGAAAAAATTACTATTATTAAAATGTTTGGGATAGGGGGAGGATGGCGGAAGAGTAAGACGCAGAGATCACCTTCCTCCCCACAGATACACCAGAAATACATCTACACGTGGAACAACTGATACAGAACACCTATTGAACGCTGACAGAAGACCTCAGACCTCCCAAAAGGCAAGAAACTCCCCACGTACCTGGGTAAGACAAAAAAAATAAATAAACAGAGACAAAAGAATAGGGATGGGCCCTGCACCAGTGGGAGGGAGCTGTGAAGGAGGAAAGGTTTCCACACACTAGGAAGCCCCTTTGTGGCTGGAGACTGCGGGTGGTGGAGGGGGAAAGCTTCAGGGCTGTGGAGGAGACTGCAGCCACAGGGGTGCGGAAGGCAAAGCGGAGAGATTGCCGCACAGAGGATCGGTGCCGACTGGCACTCACCAGCCCGATAGGCTTGTCTGCTCCCCGGCCTGGGCGGGCGGGGCTGGGAGTGGAGGCTATGGCTTCGATCGGAGCGCAGGGAGAGGACTGGGGTTGGCAGCATGAACACAGCCTGTGGAGGACTAGTGCACCACGGCTACTCGGGGGTCCGGGGAATACTCTGGACCTGCCGAAGAGGCAAGAGACTTTTTCATCGCTATTTGTATCCTGGTGCGCGAGGAGAGGGGATTCAGAATGCTGCTTAAAGGAGCTCCAGAGATGGGCGTGAGCCGCAGCTAACAGCGCGGATCCCAGAGAAGGGTATGAGACGCTAAGGCTGCTGCTGTCACCACCAAGAAACTTGTGTGCGAGCACAGGTCACTATCCACACCCCCCTTCCGGGTAGCCTGTGCAGCCTGCCACTGCCAGCGTCCTGGGATCCAGGGACAACTTCCCCGGGAGAACGCACGGCGCTCCTCAGGCTGGTGCAGCGTCATGGCGGCCTCTGCCGCTGCAGGCCCACGCCGCACTCCATGCCCCTCTCTCCCCCATGGCCTGAGTGAACCTAGCCCCCCAATCAGCGGCTCCTTTAACCCCGTCCTGTCTGAGCGAAAAACAGACACCCTCCGGCGACCTACATGCAAAGGCGGGCCAAATCCAAAGCTGAGCCCCGGGAGCTGTGCGAACAAAGAAGAGAAAGGGAAATCTCTCCCAGCAGCCTCAGAAGCAGAAGATTAAAGCTCCACGATCAACTTGATGTACCCTGCATCTGTGGAATACCTGAATAGACAACGAATCATCCCAAATTGAAGAGGTGGACTTTGAGAGCAAGATTTATGATTTTTTCCCCTTTTCCTCTTTTTGTGTGTATGTGTATGCTTCTGTGTGAGATTTTGTCTGTATACCTTTGCTTTCACCATTTGTCCCAGGGTTCTATCTGTCCTTTTTGTTTGTTTTTTCTACTTTCTCAAAAATTTTTCTTAATAATTATTTTTTATTTTAATAACTTTATTTTATTTTACCTTAATTTATTTTATTTTCTATTGTCCTCTTTCTTTCTTTCTTTCCACTTTTTCTCCCTTTTATTCTGAGCCGTGTGGATGAAAGGCTCTTGGTGCTGCAGCCAGGAGTCAGTGATGCGCCTCTGAGGTGAGAGAGCCAACTTCAGGACACTGGTCCACAAGAGACCTCCCAGCTCCATGTAATATCAAACAGCGAAAATCTCCCAGATATCTCCATCTCAACACCAACACCCAGCTTCACTCAATGACCAGCAAGCTACAGTGCTGGACACCCTATGCTAAAAAACGAGCAAGACAGGAACACAACCCCACCCATTAGCAGAGAGGCTGCCTAAAATCTTAAGTCCACAGACACTCCAAAACACACCACCAGACGTGGACCTGCCCACCAGAAAGACAAGATCCAGCCTCATCCACCACAACACAGGCACTAGTCCCCTCCACCAGGAAGCCTACACAACCCACTGAACAAACTTTAGCCACTGGGGACAGACACCAAAAATAACGGGAACTACGAACCTGCAGGCTGCAAAATGGAGACCCCAAACACAGTAAGATAAGCAAAATGAGAAGACAGAAAAACACACAGCAGATGAAGGAGCAAGATAAAAACCCACCAGACCTAACAAATGAAGAGGAAATAGGCAGTCTACCTGAAAAAGAATTCAGAAAAATGAGAGTAAAGATGATTCAAAATCTTGGAAATAGAATAGAGAAAATGCAAGAAACATTTAACAAGGACCTAGAAGAACTAAAGAGGAAACAAGCAACAATTAACAAAACAATAAATGAAATGAAAAATATTCTAGATGGGATCAATAGCAGAATAACTGAGGCAGAAGAACGGATAAGTGACCTGGAAGATAAAATAGTGGAAATAACTACTGCAGAGCAGAATAAAGAAAAAAAGAATGAAAAGAATTGAGGACAGTCTCAGAGACCTCTGGGACAACATTAAACGCACCAACATTTGAATTATAGGGGTTCCAGAAGAAGAAGAGAAAAAAGAAAGGGACTGAGAAAATATTTGAAGAGATTATAGTTGAAAACTTCCCTAATATGGGAAAGGAAATAGTTAATCAAGTCCAGGAAGCACAGAGAGTCCCATACAGGATAAATCCAAGGAGAAACACACCAAGGCACATACTAATCAAACTGTCAAAAATTAAATACAAAGAAAACATATTAAAAGCAGCAAGGGAAAAACAACAAATAACACACAAGGGAATCCCCATAAGGTTAACAGCTGATCTTTCAGCAGAAACTCTGCAAGCAGAGAACATATTTAAAGTGATGAAGTAGAAAAACCTACAACCAAGGTTACTCTACCCAGCAAGGATCTCATTCAGATTTGATGGAGAAATTAAAACCTTTACAAACAAGGAAAAGCTGAGAGAGTTCAGCACCACCAAACCAGCTTTACAGCAAATGCTAAAGGATCCTCTTTAGGCCTGAAACACAAGAGAAGGAAAAGACCTATAATAACAAACCCAAAACAATTAAGAAAATGGGAATAGGAACATACATATTGATAATTACCTTAAATGTAAATGGATTAAATGCTCCCACCAAAAGACACAGACTGGCTGAATGGATACAAAAACAAGACCCATAGATATGTTGTCTACAAGACACCCACTTCAGACCTAGAGACACATACAGACAGAAAGTGAGGGGATGGAAAAAGATATTCCATGCAAATGGAAACCAAAAGAAAGCTGGAGTAGCAATTCTCATATCAGACAAAATAGACTTTAAAATAAAGACTATTAGAAGAGACAAAGAAGGACACTACATAATGATCAAGGGATCGATCCAAGAAGAAGATGTAACAATTGTAAATATTTATGCACCCAACATAGGAGCACCTCAATACATAAGACAAATACTAAGAGCCATAAAAGGGGAAATTGACAGTAACACATTCATAGTAGGGGACTTTAACACCCCACTTTCACCAATGAACAGATCATTCAAAATGAAAATAAATAAGGAAACACAAGCTTTAAATGATACATTAAACAAGATGGACTTAACTGATATTTATAGGACATTCCATCCTAAAACAACAGAATACACATTTTTCTCAAGTGCTCATGGAACATTCTCCAGGATAGATCATATCTTGGGTCACAAATCAAGCCTCGGTAAATTTAAGAAAATTGAAATTGTATCAAGTATCTTTTCTGACCACAACGCTATGAGACTAGATAACAATTACAGGAAAAGATCTGCAAAAAAATACAAACACATGGAGGCTAAACAATACACTACTTAAAAACGGAGTGATCACTGAAGAAATCGAAGAGGAAATCAAAAAACACCTAGAAACAAATGACAGTGGAGACACGATGACCCAAAATCTATGGGATGCAGCAAAAGCAGTTCTAAGAGGGAAGCTTATAGCAATACAATCCTACCTTAAGAAACAGGAAACATCCCGAATAAACAACCTAACCTTGCACCTAAAGCAATTAGAGAAAGAAGAACAGAAAAAAACCCCAAAGTTAGCAGAAGGAAAGAAATCATAAAGATCAGATCAGAAATAAATGAAAAAGAAATGAAGGAAACAATAGCAAAGATCAATAAAACTAAAAGCTGGTTCCTTGAGAAGATAAACAAAATTGATAAACCATTAGGCAGACTCATCAAGAAAATGAGGGAGAAGACTCAAATCAGTAGAATTAGAAATGAAAAAGGAGAAGTAACAACTGACACTGCAGAAATACAAAGGATCATGACAGATTACTACAAGCAACTCTATGCCAATAAACTGGACAACCTGGAAGAAATGGACAAATTCTTAGAAATGCACAACCTGCCAAGACTGAATCAGGAAGAAATAGAAAATATGAACAGGCCAATCACAAGCACTGAAATTGAAACTGTGATTAAAAATCTTCTAACAAACAAAAGCCAGGGACCAGATGGCTTCACAGGCGAATTCTATCAAACATTTAGAAAAGAGCTAACACCGATCCTTCTCAAACTCTTCCAAAATATAGCAGAGGGAGGAACACTCCCAAACTCATTCTACGAGGCCACCATAACCCTGATTCCAAAACCAGACAAGGATGTCACAAAGAAAGAAAACTACAGGCCAATATTACTGATGAACATACATGCAAAAATCCTCAACAAAATACTAGCAAACAGAATCCAACAGCACATTAAAAGGATCATACACCATGATCAAGTGGGGTTTATTCCAGGAATGCAAGGATTCTTCAATATACGGAAATCAATCAATGTGATACACCATATTAA